TTAAGACCATAATCTATTGACTTAGTTGTGTTAATTTAGGTTAGGCTAAGATAGGTTAGGTTAGGTTAGGTAGGGTTGGTTAGGTTCGGTCATATATCTACGTTAGTTTTAACTCAAATTTAAACAAATTAACTTATACATAATGAAATGGACAGATTTATCATTTCATAAGAAAAAATTAGGAAAAATATATAAATCCAGGAAATCTTGGCTTATTAGGCAAATCGGGTTTTGCATAGTAGGCCAAGTACGACGTTCTGGCTACTAGGTACAACATATATATATATATATATATATATATATATATATATATATATATATATATATATATATATATATGTCGTACCTAGTAGCCAGAATGCACTTCTCGGCCAACTATGCAAGGCCCGATTTGCCTAATAAGCCAAGTTTTCCTGAATTAATATATTTTCTCTAATTTTTTTTCTTATGAAATGATAAAGCTACCCATTTCATTATGTATGAGGTAAATTTTTTTTTATTGGAGTTAAAATTAACGTAGATATATGACCGAACCTAACCAACCCTACCTAACCTATCTTTATAGGTTAGGTTAGGTACCTGAATAAATTAGGTTAGGTTAGGTAGTTAGAAAAACAATTCATGAAAACTTGGCTTATTAGGCAAATTGGGCCTTGCATAATAGGCCGAGAAGTGTGTTCTGGCTACTAGGTACGACATATATATATATATATATATATATATATATATTATATATATATATATATATATATATATATATATATATATATATATATATATATATAATATATTATGTTTAAAGCACCAAAGTATTTTTAGGCCTCAAAATATTTGTTAAATGTTTATGTATCAGACTTCCTATGCATGTGTATTGTGACTGTAGGGACGAAATACACCTTATATTGATGTATCAGACTTTAAGGCTGAAATAACTTTCTCAATTAGCCAGCTCAGTCAGTCTCAGCCCACGTGAGGCCAGCTTAACGAAACACGCACTTGGCGATAGAATTGCCGGGTGAAGCCGTTGCTAACGATCATATTAGCGAGGGAGGAAACAGACATGAGGAACGAGGCTGCGGAGACACAATGGTGGCAGCCGTGTGCAATATTGTGTCGGTGTGGCTGGCTCGCCTCCTAATATGAGTAATATGTTCTCTGGCTCGCTGTGTCGACACGCCCATGTGTATTCCTACTGCCTCGTTTGTACACGTGGGTGTGGGCCGACTCATTCGCGTGAGTATATATTTAGTTCGTGAACGAATACACGCTTCCTGTTTCAGGCTATTTCTCTATCTGAATTCCTCTTTTTTTTTTCTTTTTCTCAATCTGATTCTCTCTCTCTCTCTCTCTCTCTCTCTCTCTCTCTCTCTCTCTCTCTCTCTCTCTCTCTCTCTCTCTCTCTCTCTGTCTTTCTTTCTCTCTCTCTCTCTTTCTCTCTCTCCCTCTCCCTCTCTCTCCCCCCCTTTCTCCCTCTCTCCATCTGTTCCTCACTTTCTCAAAAGTATGCATCACATTTGTCACTATGTATCACGTGTGTCACTATGTATCACGTGTGTCACTATGTATCACGTGTGTCACTATGTATCACTTGTCACTATGTATCACGTGTGCCACTATGTATCACGTGTGTCACTATGTATCACTTGTCACTATGTATCACGTGTGTCACTATGTATCACGTGTGTCACTATGTATCACTTGTCACTATGTATCACGTATGTCACTATGTATCACATGTGTCAGTATGTATCACGTATGTCACTATGTATCACGTGTGTCACTATGTGTCACGTGTATCACTATGTATCACGTGTGTCACTATGTATCACATGTGTTACTATGTATCACGTCTGTCACTATATATCACGTGTTTTACTGTATCACGTGTATCACTATGTATCACGTTAATCACTATGAATCACGTGTGTCACTATGTATCACGTTAATCACTATGTATCACGTGTGTCACTATGTATTACGTGTGTCACTATGTATCGCGTGTGTCACTATGTATCGCGTGTGTCACTATGTTTTCATTTATAGATATGCTGGATGGGATACCCGGAGGTCTCCAGGTCGATCCGGTTCCTAAATCAATTTGGGGGTTAGGTCGACCCTTGCATAAAAGATAATTTATGAAAAATAAGATTAATGAATGAGAACACTTATGGAATGCCAATATATGTCAACACATTCGGCTGCTTATGTCGCTTTCTCTGTCTTTTTCAATCCCTATATCTCCCTCTCTCTGACTCAGTCAGAGAGAGGGAGATATGTATATATATATGAGATATGTATGAGAGATATATATATATATGTGACACACGTGATACACAGTGTTTTTTGAACCTAAATGAGAGGGAACTTGAAGAAAGCAACAAAAGGTGAAATGTGGAATATTTTTAGTGACGTTGATGAGCCACAATAACGTTAATGAAGATATGATTACCTAACCACAACTCAGAAGATGGAAAAGCGACGACGTTTCGGTCCGTCCTGGACCATTATGAAGTCTCGTGATCAATCACACGACTTGGTGGGTTTGATCATCATTACAAGTGATGAAACTGTTACACTTACAAATTCTGCCACAGGCGACTCACTAGCAAAGACGAACCCTCCCAGAGCCGTATGGGAACCTGCTTCTCGGGACACAAATGTCGTGAACCTAGGACCACTGTTTCTTCAAATGTCAAAGACATACAATAACAATTGTGTTATTTCCGCCAGCTGGCGGTACATGTGCGTATGACCGCAGCACCTTAAGGAGATGGCAAACCCTGTTCTCGGCGATGTTGCTGTGACACTTCTGTCAGAAATTATGAACTTTATTAACAACTGCCTGTCGGACTGATTCCAAATATTATGAACCCTTCTTCATAGAGGCATTCTGCTATGCCCTGAAGAAGAAGGATGATAGAGTAAGAACTTTTGCATTGGGTAACACACTTTGCAGATGTCAGAAACACCTTACAGAATCTCGAAGCTTTGACCACATCAGCTAGATTTTGGTTTTCTCAATAGCATGGAAGCAGCGGCTTTCGCAGCAGAGACTATATTATTGCACTCCCAGAAAATATAGCAATAATTAAACAAGATATGGTACTAGAAGATGCCCGAATAAGCTTTCTTTGTCTAATCATTTTCGTTTCAATTCGATACAGTAAGGAATCGACATCGTTGTTTAGGGTGCATAAAGTAATTTCAAAAGAAGGTGTCCTGCAAGGGGGATTCAGTTGCTCCTTACGCTTTTAGCATGGTTGATAAAGAGATCACAAGCAGGTTGACAAGAGAGACGTTACTTCCTCTAGAGGAGATGATTTCGTACTATGAAGAATTTTGGGTCACTCCTAATATCTGGTTCCTGGATGTTAATACTCTGGTATTAACATCCTTCTAGAAGGAGACCCTTCTAGAAGGTCTGCAGATGGTGAGAGATCTCTCACCTGCAGATTTCTCCTCTAAGAAAGAGGAGTTTGAGAATTAATGACATCTGTCTTCGAGACTCTGTGATCGCTCCCACTGAAACTATGCCGCTACGGGCACGTTCGAGCTTGGATCCCGCTAATATAATCCTTGAAGAAAATCTGAATGACCTGAGGACGGAAGAAGGAATATGTGTTTTGGATGAACGGACCTCTTCACAAGGTGACTGGCATTGCCCAGGCTTGCATATTTCCCACGGTGCGCATCCTCTTTCAATAGCCGAACATTAATAATCTATGATAAACTCCTATAAGCAATATTCAAGTAAGTGTTAAACCTCTCCCTGGAAGACAGACGAAGCAACGCTACCACTTATACTCGGTGGAAAAGGTACATGCAAGGCAACACAAATGGCATTGCTTGCATTGATATCTTTGACTAGAGCATTGAGTGAACTATTAAAAGAAAGTCTTCAAGAGTATTTAGGACGCCATTGGGATTCATGATCCAAAATTCACAGGAGTCACCATTGGGATAAATTCGCAGGCTCTTCAGCCGATCAACTTTTCTTAACGACTGCAAACAGACTCACTTGGATTACCCTGACAGAAACTTTCTCTCCTTCATTTCCCACTCCCTCTCACTCATTTCCCTTTCCCAATTGCCCCTCTTCCCTTCTCCTACCCCTCTTCCCCTCCTCTACCTCTCTCCAACTTTCTGTCTTTCTGTCTCTATATTCTTTGCCTGCCTTTGTATATCTCTGTGTTTTGTTTTCTGTCTGTTTTTATGTTTGTCTTCCTGTCTTTCATCACTTAACTGTATGACAGGTCTCTAACCCTGTCCATGTAGGGCAGAAGAAAATGTATATATGCTGATTAGCATTGTAACTGTGTGGCCACGTCTGTGGTAGAAAATAATAATAATAAAAAAATATAAATAATTTTTTTCTTTGCAAACCTTAGTCAGGCCAGTTTTTATTATCTGAAAATATATTTTATACAAAATAAATTGCCCTAGTCGACAAGGTTTCTCTGTTGAACCGTTTCTGTCTGTTCTATATATGTCTGCCTTCCTGTCTCTGTCTCAATCTGTCTGGCTCTGTCCTTTTCGCTATCTTTTTGTCTGACTATCTCTCTCTGTCGGCTGGAGGAGAAAAGTTGTGTGCAATATTAAACAAATATACTAGTTATATGTGGGGACGCCCTTCCTTGCTCTGACGTACCTGTGGGGACGCCCTTCCTTGCTCTGACGTACCTGTGGGGACGCCCTTCCTTGCTCTGACGTACCTGTGGGGACGCCCTTCCTTGCTCTGACGTACCTGTGGGGACGCCCTTCCTTGCTCTGACGTACCTGTGGGGACGCCCTTCCTTGCTCTGACGTACCTGTGGGGACGCCCTTCCTTGCTCTGACGTACCTGTGGGGACGCCCTTCCTTGCTCTGACGTACCTGTGGGGGCGCCCTTCCTTGCTCTGACGTACCTGTGGGGGTGCCCTTCCTTCCTCTGACGTACCTGTAGGGGCGCCCTTCCGTGCTCTGACGTACCTGTGGGGGCGCCCTTCCTTGCTCTGACGTACCTGTGGGGGTGCCCCTCCTTCCTCCAGGACCCTGACAGCTCGCTTAATGCCACAGACGACGCAGGCCTGGCTCTCCCTGACGTTGGAGGGGTTCCTGGGCAGCGAGGAGCCCACTCGCTCTCTCAGGTCTGAGATCGTCGACTCCAGCTGGGGGAAACACACGCAAGAAACACCATTTAAGCATAATAAATAAATGCAATGAAATGACTAAAGTGCCTCTCCTTCACCACGTGGAGACCGATGGCTTGTTGTGCGTGTATTGAATTAACACACTCAATACAATTTACAATTCTAAGACAATAGAATGTTCTAATTTCAAATAGATATCAAGCGATACAATCATTTAAACGACATACGGTTAAAGATAGGTAATAATAGCGAACAAAAAACATTCATTCAAGAAACTGCGAATTATCATTTACAGGTCACAAGGTTAAAATAGAACAAATTCACTCGTTTGGAATTCGAGGATTTCATAATCATGGTAATTTCAGTCATTTTGCCAACAGTGCCACGGTAGTTAATTTGTATGTAAAGTTAAAGAGATTTATTTAATGTTCTAGTCATTATGATCAATTTAGGAACATTGTAGCTATTTGTATTTTCAGCGCTCGTCACTATCGCATCATCATGAAGCGCTTGTCACTATCACATCATCATGAAGCACACGTCACTATCACAACATCATGAAGCACTCGTCACTATTACACCATCATTAGCGCTCGTCACTATCACACCATCATCAGCGCTCGTTAATATCACATTATCATAAAGCACACGACACTATCACACCATCATTAGCGCTCGTCACTATCACACCATCATCAGCGCTCGTCACTATCACACCATCATCAGCGCTCGTTAATATCACACCATCATAAAGCACACGACACTATCACACCATCATAAAGCACACGACACTATCACACCATCATGAAGCACACGACACTATCACACCATCATAAAGCGTGCCACTGGTGTCATACAAATGAAATTCAAATAATCCATTCTTAAAATAAATTATTACAAATTTTCCTGTAACTAAGCAACCAATATTCTTGATAAATGCATTTCGTCTGCGACAAAGGAATCTTTCATTAACTAACATATCTCGTTATGGTTTATATTAAGCCTTAGTGAGTCATTTATGAATAAGACATTCTCAATGAATAAATAAATGATGTTGGAGGAAAGACTCAATAAATGTTTAAATGTATTAAAGAGCAAATTTTCGGATGAAATCTACATTTTTTCTCGAGTCTTTATACGTGGTATGCAGCACTGTCTACGTGGTATACAACACTGTCCACGTGGTATACAGCGCTGTATACGTGGTATACAGCGCTGTATACGTGGTATACAACACTGTCCACGTGGTATACAGCGCTGTATACGTGGTATGCAGCACTGTCTACGTGGTATACAACACTGTCCACGTGGTATACAGCGCTGTATACGTGGTATACAGCGCTGTATACGTGGTATACAACACTGTCCACGTGGTATACAGCGCTGTATACGTGGTATGCAGCACTGTCTACGTGGTATACAACACTGTCCACGTGGTATACAGCGCTGTATACGTGGTATGCAGCACTGTCTACGTGGTATACAACACTGTCCACGTGGTATACAGCGCTGTATACGTGGTATACAACACTGTCTACGTGGTATACAGCACTGTCTACGTGGTATACAGCGCTGTATACGTGGTATACAACACTGTCTACGTGGTATACAGCACTGTCTACGTGGTATACAGCACTGTCTACGTGGTATACAGCGCTGTATACGTGGTATACAACACTGTCTACGTGGTATACAGCACTGTCTACGTGGTATACAGCGCTGTATACGTGGTATACAGCCCTGTATACGTGGTATACAGCACTGTCTACGTGGTATACAGCGCTGTATACGTGGTATACAGCGCTGTATACGTGGTATACAGCCCTGTATACGTGGTATACAGCACTGGATACGTGGTATACAGCACTGTCTACGTGGTATACAGCACTGTCTACGTGGTATACAGCACTGTCTACGTGGTATACAGCGCTGTATACGTGGCATACTGCACTGTATACGTGGTATACTGCACTGTATACGTGGTATACAGCGCTGGATACGTGGTATATAGCACTGTCAACGTGGTATACAGCGCTGTATACGTGGTATACAACGCTATATATGTGGTATACAGCACTGTATACGTGGTATACAGCGCTGTATATGTGGTATACAGCATCGTATACGTGGTATACAGCGCTGTATAGGTGGTACACAGAGCTGTATACGTGGTATACTGCGCTGTATACGTGGTATACAGCGTATACAGTATTGTACATAATCAGAGGAGTAATATTTACCACAGTGGAGAGAGGCGCAGCTTCCCTGTCCTCGGCGTTAAAGACTGCGACGGCCACCTGAGCCCCGTTGGGCAGGTCGTAGACGACCACTCTACGCACTGCCTTACGCACGAACTCCCATCGACGCTGCAAGGAATAAAGAAAGCCAATAGTTAGCTATTCATTTCAGCCTGTCACTCATTGTGTTGTGAGGATATGGGTATATGATGCCCAGTTCAACAGTAAATGGAGATGATGTGCAAGATGTCTGGCATGTTATCATTCACACGCGCAGATGAGATAATAAGTTAAAGGTCCTAAGCATCACTGATACGCTGAAATGGTATGAAATGCGTGTGTAAGTTTCTAGTTGAAAAGGAAATCTGTGAAGACTGGAAGCCTCCGAAATGGAATATGGGCAATAATAAAAGAGGAGGGAATCATATGCTTTTATATGGAAGCAATATATCTTGAGCTCTCTCATGTATACATAGAAAGTGTCTTACACATGAAAAATCGTTCCAACCTATAATTGCTTGGGAATAAGAACTAAAATATAAGTAATTAGGTATGTAACATGTTAAACAATGCTTAAAACATACCTTATTCAAAATAGTTCACTAAAGGCTGTTCAAACAGTAAGGTAAAAAATATCCTTCCTTAAAAGTCGTTCAAGATATCACACAGATTAAACAAAATAAAAGAACTTCGTGAAAAGGTAAAAACGAAAAGTAGAGAAAGTATTTATATGACTGATTGTAAAATGCACGAACACCTTTTTAGAGATACATGACAATAGTAAATTTTAATACAAACAAATAGTATTAGTTATAAAAAGTTAAAACATAAAATGCAATATTTCAGAAAAAATTAGCTTGTTGAGGCAATAAGTATCCTCTAGGAAGTGACGCGAAAATTTCGAACCTTCTCGTGTTTCAATACAATATCAAGGATTATAGATAGAGAATACAAGGGTTCGAGATTATATACCGCACTACACTTGAGTAGATTAACATCCATAAACATAATATCGAGTAATGGAAGTGACACGATGGTGGGATGATTAAATGGGCTTTCGCTATCTATTGCCCTTAACCTTGAACCAATATGACATTTTGAGAAATCCTCTTAAATTAAACCAAGATGTAAGGTCTACTAGTCAGAGGAATAGGAGTCCTAAACAAGAATATAATCAACACCGAATGTGCAGTTATATTCAATAAAATATGTCTAAATGATAACCTGTTGCAAATATATGTGTGTGTATATATATATCGTACCTAGTAGCCAGAACGCACTTCTCGGCCTACTATGCAAGGCCCGATTTGCCTAATAAGCCGAGTGATTTTCTTTTTTTCCAATAAATTGTTTCCAATTAGTTTATTTGAATTAGTATTATTATATTTTATTAGGAACATAAATTATCGACTTAGTTGTGTTAGTTTAGGTTAAGATAGGTTAGGTTAGGTTAGGTTAGGTTAGGTAGGGTTGGTTAGGTTCGGTCATATATCTACGTTAGTTTTAACTCAAATTTAAACAAATTACTAATACATAATGAAATCGACAGATTTATCATTCCATAAAAAAAAAAATGAAAAATATATAAATACAGGAAAACTTGGCCTATTAAGCAAATCGGGCCTTGCATAGTTGGCCAAGTACGACGTTCAGGCTACTAGGTTCAACACACACACACACACATATATATATATATATATATATATATATATATATATATATATATATATATATATATATATATATATATATATATATATATATATATATATCTTCTGATTTAGGGCTTCTATCCCTCTAACTATTTTCCTAGCATCAGAGCTTAGCTGAAAGAGGAGTTCTCCAAAACTCATTTTCGCTATTTCAAGGTGAAGAAAAAAGTTAATTACTATAGAATGTATTACACTTATTTATACAATTTGCACAACGTTTCAAACCTCCATTGTTCATTCTCAAGTGAAAAGAAATTACAGGACTCGTTGATTTATACCCGTACGGGGTCAGGTGATAAGACAAGTACAATAAAGGTAAAAACAAGGGGGATACATAGGGGATAAATGGGGGACGAAGCACATAAGAATAAAGGTAACTGCAGAAGGCCTATTGGCCTATACGAGGCAGCTCCTAAAGATTAATCAGGTATAATTAGCCTGTTATGTTGTACAGTGTCTTCTGTGTTGGAATCGTTATGTTTTGGTCTTGTCCTTACTCTCATGGTGGGTAGAGTAAATAGTTCCGTGATATGGATGTTCATGGTAGGTTGTTCTATTCTTATGAGAATTGCTTCATGAATTTGTAATCTTTTTGCATCTTGGGTTTTGTCTATTATACAGGTATTTTTGTTCAACAAAAATGTTGTTGTCTTGCCTATATAGGGAGCCGGTCGGCCGAGCGGACAGCACACTGGACTTGTGATCCTGTGGTCCTGGGTTCGATCCCAGGCGCCGGCGAGAAACAATGGGCAGAGTTTCTTTCATCCTGTGTTACCTAGCAGTTAAATAGGTACCTGGGTGTTAGTCAGCTGTCACGGGCTGCTTCCTGGGGGTGGAGGCCTGGTCGAGGACCGGGCCGCGGGGACACTAAAGCCCCGAAATCATCTCAAGATAACCTCAAGATATACTGAGTTCTTTGGGGCTTACAGTACCTAAGTAGGAATATACTATACGTGAACTCAGTACATAGGCAAGACAACAACATCTCTTTCCAGGATTAACAATGCATAAGCAACAAGGCTCCATTAAGGAACATATAATCTCTTCCCACAACCAGACCATCAACCAGAGAAGTCTAAATAAACAACACAGAAATCATCGATAGATACAGCGATAGTAGGCGGCTTGACATCTGCGAGGCACTACACATCAAAAAGTCAACACTGATAGCCAATTCGATAGCCATCAATAGCCAATTAATGCACAACTATATTCTACCCACTTCAAAACTCCGTACCAATATAGAAGCATCAAGAGGAAATATGGGCCAATAGGCCCTCTGCAGTTACTTCCATTCTTCCCTCTCATTTATCCAATTAATACCCAATGTTCCGTGTTCTGTCTTGTGTTGGTCAAAAGTTTGTTTACCTCATCCAAAACTGTTGCAAAATATTACCTCACACAAGTGCGAGTATATAAGACAAGCTGTTTAGTGTTAGCACAAGTAAAACTCTGTTTAGTGTTTTCAGGTTACAGTTGTGTGTGTGTAAACTAAAGTCTTTGAAAATGTAATAAGTTAATACGAAGCGCGTTCAAGCGTCGCGTCAGACTAGAAATAAAAATGAATTTTGGAGAATTGATTTTTCAATTACCATCGACAGTAAAAAGAAACATAAGAAATATTGAGAAAATTCGTATGAGAATTATCAATCTTACTTTTTCGGTCATATTTAACAACATATGTTTACAAAAAAGACTGCTCCCAAAATTTACTAATATATATATATATATTTATATATATATATATATATATATATATATATATATATATATATATATATATATATATATATATATATATATATATATATATATATATATATATATATATATATATATATATATATATATAGATATATATATATATATATATATATATATATATATATATATATATATATATATATATATATATATATATATATATATATATTCTATATATATATATATATATATATATATATATATATATATATTCTATATATATATATATATATATATATATATATATATATATATATATATATATATATATATATTCTATATATATATATATATATATATATATATATATTCTATATATATATATATATATTCTATATATATATATATATATTCTATATATATATATATATTATATATATATATATATATATATATATATATATATATATATGCAACAATGATCACAAAAACACTGATCCAGGTATGCAGAATAACCACATGTGAAAAATAGATAATGCTTAACGCGTTTTCGGCTAATTCGCCTTCATCAGAGCAAAGTAGAATGAAGATAAGAAAACATTGCTGATCAGACCTTTATATCCGCCTGGGCATATCACCTGACCACCAAGAATAAGTGAAGGAAATGAATTACAAGAAAGAAGGTAACTGCAGAAGGCCTATTGGCCCATACGAGGCCGCTAATATTAATATCTCAAAGTGCCATACGTGTTAAATGGATGCTATTTAAATAGCATCCATTTAAAACGTATGTATGTACGTATTAACACGTACGTTAATCCGCTTAATCATCACAACTGGACAAAAGGAAGTGATAGCCGAAGCTATATGAACCACTTCCCCGCCGGCACTCGGATGGTAATCTTGGGCATAGCATTTTATCAAATCACCTCATTCTTTGAGGTGATTTGAGGCACATGTGAGGAACACAAATTATTTGTGTTCCTCACGTGTGCCCCAGTGAATGAGGTGATTTGATAAAATGCTAGGCCCAAGATTACCATCCGAGTGCCGGCGGGGAGGTGGTTCAAATAGCTTCGGCTATCACTTCCGTTTGTCCGGGCGTGATGGTCAAGCGGATTGAGGCGTCCTGTACATACCAGTTGCGTTGCTCCTGGCAGTATGGGTTCGAGTCACTTCTGGGGTGTGAGTTTTCAGTTGCATATAGTCCTGGGGACCATTCAGGCTTGTTCGCACATATATATATATATATATATATATATATATATATATATATATATATATATATATATATATATATATATATATATTTATATATATATAATATATGACAGTGTCAGACCATGGAGGAAAATTTAAACAGGAATTTCCTTAAGTACTTTCGTATATTAATACATCTTCAGAAGGAGTGAAGACACTGTCACATTTTTAATCACGTGTTTATTTTCGTGATTTACACATATATAATATATATATATATATATATATATATATATATATATATATATATATATATATATATATATATAAAAGCCGTACCCAGCCACGCGTTGCTGTGGCTCAGCAATGCATGTGCGTTGCGGAGCCACAGCAACCTTTCCCCTGTCCCCCAGTCCTCTCCACTATTCCCCCCTTTTCCTGTCGCCCTCATCCTTCCCATTACTCCCTTGTCCTCCCCACTATCCCACACTCCACCACCTGCTCGTTCTTCCC